GAATAGGGAATACTGAATGGTTTAAACTCAGGAAAGGTGAGTGTCGGCGTTGTGTCCCTTCACCATGCTTGTTCAGTCTGATACTGGGCAAATGATTGGAGAAGAGTAGGGTAGCAGGATTAGAGGAAGGCTCATTAACTACCTGTGTTAAGCAAATGACCCCACCTGCCTGATGAAGATCGAAGACTCCAGCCTTCTGTGTGGATTAAGCTCAGCCCAAAGAAAACCAACATCCTTACAGCTGGACCAGTCACGATAAGCAGAGAAAAGATGGGATTGTCAAGGATTTTGTTTTACACGAGGATCCACGGGAGCAGCAGGCAAGAAATCGAGCTGTATATTGCATTGGCAAGCCTTCTACAAAAGACCTCTTTGAATGTTAAAGAGCACAGAGGACAACGAAGGTGTGTCTGACACAAGCCACCCAATGTCAGTACTGCCCAGTCCTGGCCCCTCCGCCCAATCATTGCTGTCTGAGCCCATTGTCAGCACTGCTGTGTAAATTCACGGCATTGAGGGTCTTACCAAGTAATTTACCAAGCTTGATGTCCCTCCTGATAACATACCCATAATTTGTGAGACGATGTCTCCTCGTTCTTCCTTTTAATGAGCCTTCTGGCTGTACTTCTGGGATCCCGCTGTATATCCAGTGGTCTTTGCCAGCACTGTAGTTCAGCTGTACGGGCTCTGCCTCAGTCTTCCTTATTCATTGTCCAGCTTTCACATATATATGAGATGATTGAAAATACCATGGCTCGGGTCAGCTGCACTTTCATCTTGCCGATTTTCCCAGGGCGATGCAGCATTTAATTTCTGGACTGCTGCTTCCAAAAGCATTGGTTATGGATCTCATTACATTGTAACCCTTGAGAACTTCAGTATTTCTTCCCTTTACCAGGATGTTGTCAGTCTAGTTGTGAGGATACGTGGTTTTCTTATATTGAGACATAATCTCTCCTAATTCTAGCCTGTGTGGTATCAGAAACATAAAGTGCTACATTTCACTACTCAATATAAAAATAGAGACAAATTCTTGATTGGTTAATTCCTTCAGACTCTGTAGCTGTGATAAAATGTCTCGGGCCAGGGTGCTTCTCTCTAGTTGAATCCCTTCAACAACTCCAGCTCTTGCTTTTTTTCTCCAAGTTACAAAATATGAAATTGAAAAATTGGGGGTTTGAACTAGCCAAGTCTTAATTCCTCAACCCTCACCCCAACCAATTCCAGAGGGCTGATTAAGCAGTATGGAAGATCAAGGAGTTGCTCCATTCATCCGCCCGTGGCAAGAAAGCCTTGCTTGTATAGAGAGCCATCAGATGGCACTTGGAGCTGGTTGAGGACCACAAACCGTTCTAACAAGCTAAACTCAGGACTTGTTGAATTCAGGATCTCCTCAGGTAAAGGGTTCAGTTCTGGATGTGAGCTCTGCTTTAATGGGTTAGGAATCCGTGTGGGATACGTAAAGTCCTTTGAGAAAATGTAGGAGAAAAATATATTGATGTATAAGGAGACTTCAAAAAAGTTCATCTGGAAATTCCATTATCTTTTCATTCCATAATTGCACAACCGTTTTGAAGCCCCCTTATGTGTATATCAAAGATCATGAGATAGGGTGAGTGAAATATTTGTTCAGCAACACAAGACCCTATCATAGCTCTACTATAACACGTGTCGGTGTTTGTGTGTTTAGTGAGTGTATGTGAAATTGGTGGCCAATAGTAGACGTCTTACCTTTCATGCAGGAGATCAAGCAAGGTTCTGTTCTTGGTCAGTGCACCTCTTGTACAGTTGCACCCCTGTGTCAGTGGTGGAATGCATGCTGTTTGATTCTGAATAGGTTTCAGCAGAGCCGGTTTCAATAGGGCTTCCAGTCTCAGACAGACGAGGAAGAAAGACCTGGCGACCTGCTTCAGAAAACTAGCCATTGAAAATCCCATGAATCACAAGGGTCCCATCCATACCCAGTCGTGGAGTGCGTAAGACTGAATACCATCCTTTTTACGCTGCATGGGTTCATATAAGTCAGGGGCCTGTGTTATGGTGGCTAATGACAACAGTAACAACAGCATCTATTTAGTGGATTATAATTTTAATAATATGTTTTCCTGCAAGGAGATGTGTTTGGGTGCATGTGTCCACACGCACACACATCTTTAGGTAGCCATCGCAGACCTCTGTGTTCAGGAAGGGCAAGAGCAATAATTGCGATTACACCCATTATAAAATATCTACCGATTTAGTCAAGATACTTGGAAATCCCTTTAGATACCAACTGGATACTTGAAGTCAGAAATAGAGAAATCAAATATGTAAATTTTATGTACTTTCTTCAAGTTTGTTTTCGTATATACACACTCAAGATTTCACATAAGGTTTTATATAATATGTACAATTCTGAACGTAGCTTTGCCCCTCCTTCTCCCCCTCCACACTCAAACAGTATTTCTGTCATCTAGCCTTGTTCACACACAGGGACTTTTAAAATCACTCTATAGCATTTCATCATAGAGAATCATCATATTTTATTCATCCACGCTCCTGTTAGTGGTTATTTGACTTAATTCCGGGTAAAACCCAAACAGAGTAGAGCTGTGTGCTCCAGGGCTTTTCAGTGGCTGGTTTATGCCTTTTTCCAAAGGGCGTCTGGTTGCACTCCAACCTTCAGCCCTTCAGTTAGAGCTAAGTGCGTGAGAAGTGTGTGCCACCCGGGGATTATAGTCTTCAGTGTTACTGCATGCTGTCCACAGCCTTTCGAGAGGGTTGGGCCTCTGTCGGAGTGTGTCCCTGACACAGAGGGTGGACGCTTCCCTTTAGGTGCTGGAGGGTTGTTCTTCAGGTTGACTGAATCCATCTCTTCTACCCATAGTACATGAAAATCCTTGTTTCTCCACCCTCACTGGTGTTGGATGCTGTCAGAGTCCTGCCCTACAACCAGGATGCAGTCGTACAGTGGACCCCATTCTCTCAGTTCATTGCCACCCGTCAATCCAACTCACAGCCACACTGGGGCAGGCTGGCCCATTGGCTTTTGGAGGGTGCACATGAGTCTTCATGGGAGCACACAGCCTTCTCTTGTGCCCTCGCAATGACTGGTGGATTTAAACACCAACTTCAGTTAGCACACACACACCCCTGGTGCTTAACCCACTTTACCATCCAGGGCTCCTTTACAGTACAGTGAACCCTCGTTTGTCGCGGTTAATCGGTTCTAGACCCTACCGTGATAAATGAACTTCCGCGAAGTAGGATTCCTTATTTGTAAATCAAATATTTTCGTAGTTAGAGCATAGAGGACATGAAAAAACACCCTTTAGTCACCATGACACTTGTATGACCCAATTTATTAAACGAAAAAGGGAAAATACAGTAAAACGTTTTGGACGTTACAATTATCATTTATTATTTATTATATTATTTATGGCATCTAGTTTACAGTATTACATATTTCACATACAGTATTATTATACATAGTTCTTACAAATACTGTAATCAATAGCCTATGAAATGACTTAAGGGATGTACTCTACAGGTGGGTCGCCATCTTTTTCCTCTGAAGGAGCAGGTGTAGGCAGCGGGTGCTGTTACGCAAAAACCGCAATAGAGTGAAGCTGCGGAAGTCGAAGCGCGAAGTGGCGAGGGTTCACTGTATATCAGGACTGCTAAATTCTGATATGACCTTGCATAAGAGAAGAAGAATGTATATCCAACATCTTACCAGTAGCTTGCTTTATTTTCAAACGTAAAAATAATTGGCATATGGCAATAGCATGTAGAGTTTAAAAAGTTGAACTAACCCGTTCTTTCCACAAACATTGATGCAACGTTCTATGCCAGGCACCAGGATTACAAAGATAATGAGATTGCAATTATGTAACGTGCCTCTGCCCTCAGGGTTTCCCATTCCAGGCAGGAGTCAAGGTGATTAACCCGGTAGCCTTTGCAATGCATGGACAGTGATGTTCTCAGAACTTAAGAGCCCAGAGGAAGGCGAATACAATTTTATATTCTAAATGTTCATAATGGAAAGGGTGTTGCCTGGCTGTCGCAAATGGTTAAGCATCAGGCTACCTGACCAAAAGGTTGGCGGTTCAGATCCACTCAAAAAAGGAAGGCTTGGTAATGTGCTTCCAAAAGGCCACTGCTTAGGCTCCCCTGTGGAGCAGTCCTTCTCTGGACCTAGGGGCTCCCTCTGTCAACTTGTCAGCAGGTGATCTTTGCTTGTTTGTACAGTGACGGGACTGCGTGTAACAAGAGTCACCAGATTCAAAGGAAAGTGAATTTTGCGTCGTGTTTACAATAATTTTTGTACCTTTCCTTTTAGCCTGCTTGGAGTTTAGAATGTTCATGACAGAACACGCCCCCCCCCAAAAAAAAAAACAAAAAAAACAAAGCAAACAAGTTTTCGTGTGTAGCGAGCAGATTCCCAGAGAAACCTGTCCCCATGCCCCACTCTGCAGGCCTGCAATGTGCCTGTGAGTCTTCCAGCAGTACTTGTGTGCCCCACACACCTTTCCAGCAGTAACCACGTGGCATGTATGTATGAAAACCCTGCTCGGGGGCATCGGGCATGTGTGCTCGGGGGCTCCTGATAGCTGGAAGCTCAGAATCCAGAGAGGGAATGAGGTGTTCCAGGCTGAGACTATTTTTACATCTTCAGATTTAGAAAGAGACTAAACCAAATCACACTTCTGTGTAGCCTGCTGGCCATGGAAAGGGAAGGTCAGTGCCTAGGACAGGACTTAGAAGGAAACCGTGTGTCCAGCCATGAACTTACCCAGGCACTGAGCCATGGTGCCGAGGAGTACTGGGAATTGTGTCTCTTGACCTCTTAATACAGAATGCTACCCACAGTACGCACGGTAGTGCACTTTGAACTGTTTTTGGATTGAGAGAATGTTGCTGTTGTGTTCAGGAGCTATTAAAAAACTTAACCTTAAGAGAAATTCTCTCTCTGTTGTCTCATATTTTTATTTGTTATTATTTGGTTTTGTTTCTTTTAGGTCAAGAAGTGGTTTTCAAGTGCCTTGGGGAAGGAATTCTGGAAAAGGCCTTTCAGGGGTATAACGCTTGCATTTTTGCCTATGGACAGACAGGTAAGAGAGTGCTTTTATTTTGTGCCCAGTGATATTCAATAGGCATTTATAAAAACTTAGAACAACAGAATATGCTTCTAACTTTGTGGATTGAACCTAATTAGATGATCAAAAGTGACTCTTTTTTTCAGAAGCTCGACAACTTTGGTAATTGGGTAATTTCCCTGTTAAAATTCGGAACTAGTTTCAACCTAGGAAGTATCATTTTCCTAAGTTGTACTTTTCACTTGTATTTCAATGAGAAAAATACCCACCAGCCCCTTGGTACAAATAGTAAATGTTATATTAAAAGCCGTTGATAAATGTGTAGTCTCACTCGATAGGGAGGACTTTCACTCAGGTGCTACTGAGTAGTAAATGATTAAACCTAAGCTTTGGGCAGAACTGGTTGAAACTAATAAGCCCCAAAACCAGCCCCGTAACTCAGCCTTTAACACGCATAGCCATCAGTCTTTCAGCCATGTCGGCGTCGTTGTTCCTAAGCCCTGTCAAGTGAGTTTTTTACTTTAAAAAAATGATAATTTCTTTTTATTAGTTTATTGTCATATAATTCACAGATCCTAAACCCTAGTCATCTAATATTAAGAGTCATGCAGACATCGTCACAATCGGCCTCAGAGCATTTTCTTCTCATGCTCCTTGTTAACTCCCATTTCCCCCCAACCTCTCCTGCCACGGCCCTAGGTAATTATTCATCCAGTTACTGGCTCTGTAGATTTACCTATCTTGGATTTCATATACAAAAATTATATGAAACGCATACAAACAACAATGAAAAGAAACCCGGAGGAAAACCTCAAGAGAAGAGAAAGCAGAAAAATATTAAACACTGAAACGACCTTAAAATGGATCAAACAGAAGATCAAATGATAAGGTGTTACATTTTCACCTAACTGCATCAGACGTAATCCGTTTTACAGTGCTCTCTGTCTGATAGCAAGGCTGTTCACATCCTTGGACAATGTTCAGAGGGGAGTCTCCAGAGGCTTAATCCTTGTAGGGACTCTGCACATGGACTTTGGGCTTCCACTGTCATCCATAGCCTTCTGCAAAGAAGCAGCCATCTACATGAGGCATCAGCTAAGTCCACAGGGAAGAAGCATATCAGCCTCTGTGATCCAAGGATTTTAAAATATAAGATCCAAATCCAAAGGAGGGAATGGTATCAGAGCTTAAATTCTGAACACCGCTCTGCCATTTCTGACTCGTCAGTTACGGCCCTGTGTGACATTGCCGCATGGCAGATAGCATGTTCTGAGCTGTTCTCTGTGCGGGGCACCTCCCCACGTCTGTCTCCCGGAGAGCAGCTGAGTGCTTTGTTGTTGCACCACTAGGGGTCCCTAAGTCTCAGTGCTACCCTGCATCAGTCACATCACGGGATAACGAGGAGACCCCTAAGAGAATCTCTCTCAAGGCGTTCTGACAAATAGACTATGCAAGAGTGATGTGCTGTCTTTTAAAAGGATGATATGCTGTTAATATTGTTTAATAATGGATAGGTGGTGTTTTCCAGGAGCCCTTTTAGTGCTCTCTATTAGGTGTTGGCCTGCCAGCTACAAGGCCGACAGTGAAACTCCACCAGCAGCTTTGCAGGAAGAAGATGAGACTGCTCCCTCAGAGGTTTATAACCTCAGGTTGCTGTGAGTCAGAAGTGACTCTTGGCAGTGGGGTGTTTGGGGGTTTGTTTTCTTGTTTTAGCCAGTGTATTTACTGTAAAGCTTTTTAAGCAGTTAACTCATTTTCGCAGGTGTGGATATGTGCATCCATTCATAAACAAGGTGCCCTCTGCATCTTTCAGTGAGAGCCAGGCTGGAGGGTGTGAATGTAATGGAGAGGGCAGGAGCATCGATGTTGAGAGCTTGGGTTGCCACTTTTCTGCTGAGTGCCCTTAGCTGGTGAATGTGAAAGGTGTGCAGGCTTGACACCGCCTCCTCGCCTTCGCTTCCTCCCTCACCCTTCCTCCTGTCTGCCTGCTCTTCCCCAGGTTCGGGCAAGTCCTTCTCCATGATGGGCAATGCTGAGCAGCTGGGCCTCATCCCCAGGCTGTGCTGCGCCCTGTTTCAGAGGATCTCTCTGGAGCAAAACGAAGCCCAGACTTTCAAAGTGGAGGTATCCTACATGGAAATCTATAACGAGAAAGTCCGGGACCTTTTAGACCCCAAAGGGTGAGTAACTGGTTGAAATTTAGCCTATAAACAGAGGTGACTATGTTAAATGATCCTGTGTTGAGATGGCAAGTTATGAATGTTTCTGAGGACTTGGTCACTGCTCTGAGTTCAGTTCACTGATTGAGGAGTCAGCAGCCTGCAGACCTCCCAGTGTGCCCACTGCTCGGGCAGAGTGGCCCGAGTGCACGTGGGTCACATTGCTAGGGGTGGGCCATTTTGTAGGGGAGTTTCTACTGTTGGTCTCTCGTTTATATTGCAAAGAGCACCTCTAAAGTCAAGGCCAAGTGCCTGGAGAATTGAAACAAGTCAGCCCAGTGGGCTCACACGGGGAGCGTCTTACAGATACACGGGGCTGGGCGATAACATATGGAGTCATCGAGAAAGGATAGCAACGGCCAACGTGCAAAGATTAAAAAAAATAAATGAAAGGTGCCCGCAAGACAGTTGTGGCTCCTAGTGAGAACTGTGTGTCTCAGAGTAAAACTGCACCATAGGATTTTCAGTGGCTTCTTTATTCATTTGTTTATTTACATAAAGATCACCAGGCTTTTCTTCGTAGGTACCCCAGGGTGGGCTTGACCATCCAGCCTTGTGATTAACCAAATGCATTAACTATTTTCGCTCTTTGTGTTGTTGTTGTTGTTGTTGTTAGGGGCCATGGAGTCAGCTCCAACCCATAGTGACCCTCGATACAACAGAACAAAACCGTAGTCCTGTTCCATCCTCACAGTCGTTCTATGTTTGAACCCACTGTGTCCATCCATCTTCTTGAGATCCTTCCTCTTCTTCACTGCACCTCTACTTTACCAAGCAAAGTCTTCACAGTGGAACCAAAATGCCCTGCATGCCCTGTTTTCACTCACAGTGCCCGTGGAAACGGTTCCCCCGCAGGTCACCAAATGATGTCCCCCCAGGCAGATCTGTGTGTCCTTCTCCAAGGACTGGTCTCTCATGATAACATGTCCAAAGGACAGCAATGACCCAAGTCTCAACATCCCTGCCTCTTCTTCCAAGACAAATGTGTTTGTTCTTTTGGCAGTCCGTGGTACTTTCAAGATTCTTCACCAGCAACATAACCCCAGGGCATTGGTTCTTCTTCAGTCTTCCTTATTCAGGGTCCAGGTTGCACATGCATATGAACGAGGCCACGAAGATGCCGTGGCTTGGGCCAGGCACACTTGACTCCTCACAGTAACCTCCTTTCTTATGCATATGCATAATATTGGTGGATCTTAAAAACATTATGCTACGTGAAACTGCCATTCACAAAGGGACAGGTATCATATGATCCCACTTACAAGGAAAAAAACAAGTGTGTAGAGAACAAAGTTAGTTTATCAGTGATTACCAGGCCTGAGAGGGAGGGAGAGTCGTTGTTTGAGTCCTGAGTTTATGTCAATTGTGGTGATAGCTACATATGACGAACACAGTGTCTCTGAAGTGTAAGTATAAACACTGTTGATTGTTTTAAATGTTTTAAAAAACAAAACAAACATCCTTAAGGTTAAATTCAACCTGGCCATATTCTTTGCGTCACTTCTTAACATTAAAAAATAAAAAATCCCCCCCCTATGCAATATTTTGTATTTTCGAAGTGCATCTACTAGAAAAGTTAGCATTAGCAAGTGTTCAGTTTCGGGCTAGGGAGACCATTTTTTAAATAGTAAACTCCTTTAAATAGAAATCGGAACATAAGACATTCCTCTTAGGCAATGATGTTTAACTAATCCAAATAAAGTCGTTTTTAGAATATTTCTGTTCATTAAAAAAATCATTTGAAAATGCTATCTTTGTTTCTGCATACTTGCAAAGAAAGGAAAGTTTCCAAATTTGATCTAATTCCTTCATTCCTTTTTCATCCCAACCAAGGAGTAGGCAGTCTCTTAAAGTTCGAGAACATAAAGTCTTGGGACCATATGTGGATGGTTTATCTCAACTGGCTGTTACTAGCTTCGAAGTAAGTATTATTTTAAAAAAAAAAAAGTGGTTTTGTATTATTTTGTTTTTCCCCGTTAAAAATACAGACAGAAAATCAAAGAGTGTAAATGATGTTGAGTGTGTACTGGTGTTGATGTTTTATAGCATATTGATATCGTTCACCGCCTCAGAAACCCGGTATGAGCCCCAGGGACACAAGAAATGGAATCTACATTATATGCCTTCCACCTCTACACCCCTTTCAAGCTCGCAAGGGCAGTGTCCAAATCGTGTGTGTGCCCCCCACCTCCCCCAACTCAAAGATAAGCAGATGTTGATAAATGGATGACCAGAAACACCTTCTTGTCCAGCTGCCTCAGTCAGGCACCTCTTTCCTGTGTGGGCACCTCTGAGGCCACCCGAACCTTGTCTGCCGACCCTCTGGACTTGTACCCGGGGGCAAGTTTCCCCTGGGTCCCCTCCTGCCTGGCTGCTATCCCCCTGTGTGTCTGTTATGTTTGAGGGAGGGATGTTGGGCCCTACCAGGTTAATAGCAACTGCTCAGTGGTGCCCCCTTCAGGTGGTCCCCAGAGCTCATGTCATGCCTGCCTACCCTAAATGGGCCTCTGCCAGACAAGAGTAATCCAAGAGAAAGGGGCTTCCCATCACCTTCCTCAGGCTACTCTGGTGGAAGTCTTCACAGGGTAGCCAAAATGCCCTGCATTTCCAGGCTGTGGAATGTTTTCACTCCACTGGCCTGTGGAACCGGTTCCCCCGCAGGTCGCCAAATGATGCCCTTCCAGGCAGATCTGGTAGTCTAAACAACGCTTCGCCCGGCCCCTTCTTGACAACCCCTCCAGCTCAGCTTGCAGTACTTTTCCTCTTCTGGGTCTTCTGCTTTTCTGAATTTTCCCCCTTGCCCTTTTACTTACCCCTCATCTTGTATGCCTCCGTAAGGCCTGCCTCTGTGGTGTTTCCCTCCATTTCTATCCTCCCTGCTCTGGAGATCTCATGACCTCTCAGTTGTTGAAGAATGCAGGCGAGGGAATAAATGGCCATCCTTATGTGTATTGTTTATATATTATATTGGCTGTTTGAGCACCATCTCAGTGAGCTCAGCGTGAAGTCACTCTGTCTGGTAACCGGGTCCTGCTGTCTTGGCGACGATGCTCTTAGTATTGCTCAGGTGAGAAGTATGGGGTGATTGTCTCTCGACACGTCTACAGATTCTGAAATGAATGGAATCCTGCCTGACACACACGCTGAGCCACACAGCATGTCTGTTTTAGTACGGGTAGACTGGACAAACGTTCATAGACACTCTCATGGGTATAAAAAAGAGCTTTATATACAAGAGCAGTTGGATATTGGGAAAACATCCCCGCCCAGTCCAGATCAAGTCCATAAGTCCAACACCAGCCCATATGTCCAACACCAATCCACAAAGCCCTCTTCAGACTCACAAAAACGCACCCAATGATGCCAAATGCAGGAAGATCACAGGCCAGTAGGTGGGCAGTATTGCGGATCCAGGGGCAGTAGGAGTGTCTCAGTGCTGGCAGGGGTCTCCACGTGGCCCCTCCAGCTCCAAGACCCTGACTGCCATCTGCCTGTCTCCATGTGGCCTGTCATCTGCAATGTCCCCCAGGGGGTGAGCCTGTGTCCCACCCCCAACAAGCTGTTTATCTCCGTAGCACCTCCAAATGAAGTCATCGTGCTGCAGCCTGATTGGCAGGCTAAACTCCACCCCTTCACTCTAAATCCTCTCAAATTGACAACAGATTATATATAACCACAGTGTGTCGATGTAGCAGCTACTTTTTCAAGAAACTCAGAGTGGGCTCTTGGGTCTCTCTCATTGGTCTACATCTAAGTAAGAGCCAGGGAGCTTGGGTTTGGTACCCCGGCTCTGTGTCTTACTAAATGTGAGGGGAGTTCTCTTACCCTGCTGCACTTCAGCGTCTCCGGGGGCGGCATCAATAAAATGCCTCTTTCATAAAATTCACTCATCGAATACTTCTTAAGCTCTAAGACCCAGGTGTCTTCCAGGAGCACACATGCACAGAAGAAAAAGGAGCGGCTGCCTTTCAAGGCCATGGTGTTGGGGGAGAGGGAGGGATATTAATAGTGGGGGTTCCATGACAAGCTGCCCGGCACAGGAGAATTAGGTGTGTCTTCAGTGCTTAGTAATGATTAGCCACTCCCAGGGAATTTGCAAAAGAGAAAATGGGGACTTACAGAGAAGGGGCGCACCTGTTAAGCATTCGGCTGCCAACCAAATCGCTGGCAGCTTAAGCCCAGCAGTCAGTCCCCACAGGGCAGTTCTACTCTGTCATATCTGACAACTGTGAGTTGGAGTTAACTCGGTGACAAGTGAGAAGGCCAAGACAAGAGAAAGGAAACAATGGGCCGGGTGGCGGGTGGGGGGTGAAGAGAAGAAGCCTTTTATTCAATCTAGAAAGCCCCGAGAGAGGGAACATGCCAACCCATGGCCAGTGGAGAACAGGCAGCGGGGCTTCTATGGCAGGATCATGACGGGGCCATCGAGCCCATGCCCACTCCCCGAGGCCCCTTGTGGGCTTCTGAGACTGCCACTGTGGACGGGCGTGGAAAGCAGAGTCTTTCTCCTGCTGAGCTGCTGCCAGTTTCAAACTGTCGACCATGGGGACTGCAGCCCGATGTGTAACCATGACACCACCAGGGCTCCTCTCGGGCCGTCGAGAGGGAGCAGAATGAACAGATACGCCCAGTAGGCCGGATGGTGTTCTTGTTTTTCGCTTCATTGTGTTTTCCCTCTAGGATATTGAGTCATTGATGTCCGAGGGGAATAAGTCTCGCACGGTCGCTGCGACCAACATGAATGAGGAGAGCAGCCGGTCCCACGCTGTGTTCAACATCATCATCACCCAGACACTCTTTGACCTGCAGTCTGGGGTGAGCGGCTGGGGAGCCGTTGGGTAGCAGTGGAAGGACACTCGACATGTCGTGGAGGGGAGCCATGAGATTTTGAGTGAGGATCAGACAGCAGCTCTTCTACCTATGATTTGAACTCTTTAAACCATTTAATTTGCTTGGCCTCGCTGTGTATGGAACATATTAGAAAATTAGATTGTCATGTGAATTCCCTCAAGAGCAGGATGCTGTCCACATAACATGTGGGTCCCTTCTTACTGAAATGCCCCTTAAAACAACCAAGTCTTCCTTGGGGTGGTTGAGGGACATTGTAGCAGACACCATGACTTTTAGGCTTAAGAGCACTTTTCCCAGTATTTGACTTGCATGTGTAGGAAGCCTCGTGTCCCAGCACCTCCTTAGGGACACAAACCCCCAGCTTCTTGCCAATCCATCCCCTGGAAAGCTGAGTGGACTTGCTCCCCAGATGCAGAACAGAACGCTAGCTGTCCATTCGAATGTCAGCCTTGACTGGGCAATGGATTGTTGGTCCGGATGAGCTCCCCCGGTAGGATAGCATCTTCTTGAGAGGTTTGCCTTGCTGGAGTGAGATGGATGCTGATGTGTGCCGTTCCCTCTTGTTTCCTGCAACCAGAACTCGGGAGAGAAAGTCAGTAAGGTCAGCTTGGTGGACCTGGCAGGCAGCGAAAGAGTGTCCAAAACGGGAGCTGCGGGCGAGCGCCTGAAAGAGGGCAGCAACATTAACAAGTAAGGTGGCCCTGCAAGGGGCAGCTGCGGGGATCCTGGAGCATGGGCTCCAACTTGCTGCATGGCTGGGGGTGGTGGGGGTGTGTGCAGTGTTGTGAGGGGTGTAACTGGCAGGTTGTTGAAAGCCTGGGTGCCGCATCAGATGTGATGTAGTTCGAAGAAGATGCAAATCACAATTTTATAAATCAGATCCTATCCAAATTGGACAAGGGGAGCTTATTCTGAACAGAGAATCTGCTTGGAATCCCTTTGTAGGGTTAATACGGTTTTAATGTCAGCATCCATAAACAGCCAACACATAGTTATTGAATAACTACGCTACTGGGATTGTGCTGTGTGCCTTACGCTCTCACTGGGTTTGTAGAGATTCAGGAGTGATGTCCTGGAGCGTCTAAAGCAAATGGCTATGAAGCTAGCGGTTTATAAGAGCCGAAAGTCTTTGGGTGGAAGGCCAAATCAGTGTGTCAGCTGAGCTGAATTCTCCCTCAAGTCTCTGAGAAAACATCCTTTCCTGTATCATCTAGCTCCTGGCTGCCTAGGCATTTCTTCAATTATGAGTGCACCTTTAAATGACTAGAATCCCTCTGTTTTTCTGGCTCTGTGTATCTGTTCCTCTTTCATAAGAACACTGCTCATCTAGGATTAAGACCAACCTTACTCCCATGTGACCTCAGATGAACCCATAGCCTCTTCCGAGACTGGCTCACAGAGAGCAGGGCAGTGAAGGATGTGTAGGAGTTTGCCACGGAAAAAGGAGACAGAGCTATTCTCGCCCCCCAGAGGGGGAAGCAAATCCCTAGACAGTCACAGGTTTTCGTTTCAGTGATGCAGTAGTGAGTACCCGGTAAAGGAAGGGGCCCCAGTGGCTCAAGAGTCACGTGCACCACTGTGAGCTTCAAGGCTGGCAGTTCAAGCCCGCTCAGCTGCTCTGTAGGAGAGAGATGACGATCGGCTTCCATAAAGACTACAGCTTAGAAAGCCCCATGAATCAGTTCTCCTCTGTCACACAGGGTCCTAATAACCCAGGGCAGGTGGGGACTGTGCTCAAGGGTGGAGAGAGATGAGGCTGGAAAGATGCACCGGGACCAGGCCACGATGGGCTGGGGGATGGTTTATGCTCCTGATGAGCAAAGGACTTCTCTCTGCTTTCTACAGAGGTGGATCTGGTCATGGTATGCCCTCACACCAGACCGCCTTGGCTCCATCCAGCACCACCACCTGCTCAGTTTGTGTGTCCCTGGAAGTGACATGGCCACTCACTGCCTCGCTTTTCTCATCTGTGAAATGCCCACAATAAGAGGGCCTACTCCATAAAACCGCTGAGGGTGGAATACCACTTAGAACAATGCCTGGCGCACAGCATGCACTGAATCAATATTAAGGGTGGCTATTTGTAACCACCATCATCATCGCTCTGAGCTCAGCAGAGAGCAGTTTTGTCCACGCTGGCCGTCTTCTCGGTGGGACTGCCATCCTTTGAGATTGGGTTAGGACAGAACGTGATGGGAAGAAACACATACGTAGGAACAGATCTCTGCAGCCTGCATTTCAAAAGGACGTCAGCGTATTATGGTTTCAGCAGACAGCTGTTCAAAAATTAGAAATAAAACAGAACCCCACAGGAGATGGTCGGAGCCATACTCCCAGCGAGTGACTGCTGTTCAGAGAGGGGGGGTTAATCTGCCAGTCCTCCTGGCTCCTGTGCAAATCACAAAGGATTTTGCTGAACTTCATGGCAAGGTATCACCAGAGCTCAGACTGGCACTGCCTCTCTGTGCCCCTAATGAGCTCCAACCAGGTTGGAAAGCCAAAGCTGGGTTTGAGGGAGCCGGTACCAAAGACGGGTGCTGACTGGTGCTGGGCTTGGCCGGCCTGCTGCTGCTGGCCAGGCTTTTGAGGAACCATTCGGAATTCTGCCCTGTAGATACTTGGAGGCTCAAAAAGTGCGTGGAAAAGCACCACGATCTTTCCTTTGGATTTTCCCACGAACTTCCCCCTCCCGTGTGTGGCCTTGGTAGGGACAGACGAGGACCATTGATTGAGCTCTTACCTCTGTGCCAGGCATGGTTCTAAGTGATCTGCATGTAACGATCTGTCTGACCCTCGTGTCAGCATCGTGAGGTAGGTCTGTGATCCCCGCTTTCCAGATGAGGAAACCAAAGCAGAGAGCGATCAGTTAACTCGTCCAAGGTTACACGACTCCCATTGCTGCAGCTTGTATTTGATTCCAGGTCTTCTGTCTCTACAGCCCAGACGCAGCCACTGGGCTCTCTGAAGGGTATCACGTGTGTGTTAGTCCAGGAAGACTAGAGAAACAAATCCACAGAAACTCATATGTGTATAACAGAGTTTTATATAAAGGGTAATTGTACATCAAGAAAGCATCCCAACCCAGTCCAGTCCAAGCCTGTAAGTCCAATATTAGCCCATTATGTCTAATACCAATCTATAAATTCCTCTTCAGACTCAAGAAACATGCAATGACACTGAATGCAGGGCGGTCACAGACCAGTGGGTAGAAAGTCTTTGGATCCAGTGGCGTTGTAACCATCTCAGCGCTGGCAGAGGCCCTCTAGCTTCAGAGGTCTAGTGGCATCAGGGTAGGTTCATGTGGCTTCTCCAGCTCAGGGCACTAGCTTAGTTCCATGTGTCTTACTAGCCACAATGTCTCCCAGGGAGTAAGCAGAGAGAAAGGAGTGTCTCCCGCCTCCAAGGAGGAAACTATCGGAATTCCCAGAATCCTTAGGGGAAGCCATGCCCACACAGAAATCTCATTGGCTGTGACCCATTTGACAGAGTAGACTCCACCCCTTCACTCTAAAGTCCCAAATTGACACCAGATTACATGACTCTCCAATGAAGGGTCCTGGTGGTCATTTTGTTCCGAAGTAAATACTAAGAGTGGTCCTTTGAATTCTCAGAGGTGTCCTCATTTGGACACTAAGTGTAGTACCCCTAAATGGACTCCTTCAAGGCTGCGGTAGCATGCCTCTATTCTACGATAACTTGTTGAACCTATGGGAGCTCTCCCCACATCACACTCTCTTTCCTTACTTGTGTGCTAGCTCTTCTCCAAACAGGTATGTTCATCCTCTGCTGCTTGGTGATGAAATAGGACCTTTGTTTGGCTAGCTCTTTGTGGGTTCCAGAGCATATTCAGGTATTCGTATCTCTGTTTAAGGATGTGGAGATTCAGAAGTCTTTTAAAAGGTCTCAGGAAAAACTCTGTTCCACAAACTGCTTAAAATCTTCTTGTATGGTACATAGGAAGCATAAAAACCCAGCAAGCCTTTGCCGCCTTTCTGGCCCTGCGTGACATGCAAAAGTAATTTAGACACTGTGGCAGAAATTCACACACACACACACACACACACACTCATACCCCCGCCACATTCCCAGAACCTCCGACTGTGCCTTACATGCTCCCATGGCAGAGGGCTTCAGCAGATGCGATTCAGGTCGTGTCCTTGAGAGGGAATGGTGATGGGGGCAGGCCCAGTGTCACCACAAGGGTACGTGTGGGAGAGTGCCAGGAGAGCAGCAGCACAGTGGTGCAGTGAGAGAGGCCTAGCTAGCCGCTGCTGACTTGAAAGATGAAGGAAGGGGCCATGAGCCAAGGAGTGCAGGCGGCTCGTAAAACGCTGTGCGGTGGGGGCTTGGGCTGGGAGGGGCGTGGCTGAGTGGGGAGTGGTGGACGGAGACACCCTGTTTTCAGCTCACTGAAATCCATTCTGGACTGCTGACCTCCAGAGCCACGAGATAATAAACGGGCTCTGTTTAATTTGTTGAATCCTGATTCCTGGCCTAGAGGCACACCAGGTCTAGGGCAGCAGCTAGTCCACATCATTTTGTAAAGGGACAGGAAGGAGGGTTTTTTTGAGTGGAGAAGTGTGGGGGGTGCTATACATCCTTGTGTTTAAAAGCATGAATCTTTTTTTCTCATTAAACACTTGCCATCCCAAGGATGTTTCCGCACGGGCCTTGTGTTTTTCTCAGACATCACTGTGAGAGGGGTGGAGCTGCCTGCCCCTAAGCCCAGTGCCCTGACTCACGTTGTTGCTAATAGTCTGCTAGAGTCATGGTGTGCAACCCACCGTGTGCAACAGAACAGAGTGCCGCCTGGCCCTGCGTCACCTTCGGGATCGCTGGCATCCTCCAGCTCTGTGCTGCGGCCACTGTGTGCTTTGTGTATCCTCCAACCTCGGGGGCTCATTTTCCCACACTGTGTCAGACAGTGCTCTATTGTGACCCATGGGGTTTTCATTGGCAGGTTTTAAAAGTACATCACCAGGCCTTCCTAGTCTGGAAGCCCCCTGGCAACCCATTGATCCTGGGCGACCCTGCTGGTATTTGGTAATAGCAGTGGCATTAGCTCCCAGCCTCAGGGCGTCATGCAAGCCCCTACAGCACAACAGCTGACTGACGGGTGGTGGGAGCTCTAGCTACATGGGCTTTAAAAAAAGTAAAATATATTGAAATCCTGTGCCATAGGGGCACAGATGATTTCTTTACCCCTAAAATCAGTGCTTGCAGGCCAAGTTGAGTGCTGACATGAACTCAATATCTGACATGTTGTGCAGCTTTCTCTTGACCTTTTTTCTCGGTGTCTTCTGATGGAGCATTAGTAATCCCATTACCAGACCTGTCAGGGACCTCACAGACATTAGTGCCTGCCAAACGTCCTGTGGATATAGAAACAGCATCTCTCTGTAAGCTCCTAAGAGCTTTAAACCTCACATTATTCCTTGGTTTGAAGGCCTACGGTGCTGGGTGGCCGCCCCACAGCCGCTCTATGCTGGGAGCATGGGCAGTAGGGCTCATCAGCCTCCCCACAGGGAGGGCCATGTATCTGAAACCAGGCTGCCGCTCCACCTGCCTGTTGCTGGTGGAAGGAGGGGCCCTCTTCCAGCTACTGGAGTCTGGCCGGCTCAGCTTGTCTAAGGATGGAGTTCTTCCTCAAGCGTCCCTGGGAATGTCACCAAGAACGGTCCCTTTTCACTCTTCACAGTAGCCAGTCATTAAATGTAAGTCGTTTTCATCGAATGAAGATCTCATTTCTCTGGTTTATTTCCATTTCCATTACTGTGGCACTGTAGAATAAAGGATAGCTAACATTTCCCCTCAAGTGGGTTCTCTTGAACACTTGTTGTACCCATATCAATATAGGTCACTCCTGTATTCCTTCATATAATTTATGTTATAGTACTAGTCTGCTGACCAACCACAAGGTCACCGGTTCAAACTGACCAGGCCCTCACGAGCGAAAAATCAAGGTGGTCTATTCCCGTTAGGAGTTACAGTCTCAGAAATCTTAAAAGCATACTGCTCTGTCCTAAAAGGCCAACCATAGTGGATTTTTGTCTTGTTTTGTGTGTTTGTTTTTGAAGACCCTGGGTCACTACTTGAAGGGAGCTCTGGTGGCATAGTGGGCTATACACTGAGCTGCTAACCACAAGGTTAGTGGTTTGATCCCACCAGTCACTCCCAGGGACAAAGATGAGGCTGTCTACTTTTGTAAAGATGTAAAGCCTTGGAAGCCCCGGGCCCAGCTCAACTCTGTCCTGTAGAGCATCGACTGGGTGACAATGATTTGGTTTGGGTCTCTTTGCTTAAGGGTTAGCATCTAGGGTGGCTTAAGGGTTGGTCCCCTCACCCCTGAGTGACCTAGTTTTTTCCCCTCATCGCCAAGTCCTCCTGAGTCTGCACTTCATGGTTTTTCTGTTTGGTTTTTCGCTCAAAGGTATTTGTGATAGTTTTGAACAAAGTTCGTGTGTTGAGTGTGTGCACACTATTGGCGGCAAGAACATGGTTTTATTTGGGATCGGGATCTCTGCCTTGGGAAGTTGGATAGCACTGTGCACACGGAACCGGCCTGAGCCGTTCGGTGACGCTGTACCGCTGTGCTCCACAGCAGGCATCTCCTGGGGCTGCTGCTTCATGCTTCACTGGTGTTCTCCCCGCTTCCTCTCCCATCACAAATGGGATTTCTTCTTCCATTGAGTAGGCGTTTCCCTTGTTAATCCTAAAGTGATCACTCTAGGTTGTCTGCTAACTTGTGGGCTTGCTCACCAGTATAAATAAGTAGTACATTTAATTTTAAATCTTTTACAAGAGATTTTCTCTGTGTGCTATCGTGTCACCATCATTGTGCCCCTCTGTGTTTTCTGGCTACTGACTACTAAACTTAGGATCCAAATGATTTCCTTGTGAAAGTGCACTTGGTACTTTAACGGGGACATAAGAATGTCCCCTCTGCCCCTCAGCACCACAGACCTATTGTTTTTACCATGTTCGTTGCTCCAGATGTGGAGAGCATCCATTAGCCATGGACAAATGCTCCTGGGCCCAGCCTGTAGTTGTGGGGCACTGACATTTTAGCCTGCATCAGAATCAACTGGGGGCCCTGCTCCGCTTTATACTTCTCATTCAGTGTGTCTCAGGTGTGGGCACACTGGTGGTTCAGTGGTAGAAGTCTCACCTCTCATGGGGGAGACTCAGGTTCGATTCCTGGTCAGTGCACCTTATGCACAGCCACCAAACTGTCCTTGTTGGTTGGCATGTTGCGATGATGCTGAACAGGCTTCAGCAGTGTTTGTAGATTAAGACAGACTAGGAAGAAAGACCTGGGCGCCTACTTCTGAAAATCAGCCATCGAAAACCCTACAGATCACAGTGGCCAGATTCACGAGTCATGGGGATGATGCTATAGCGAATAACAACAATGCTTAGGGCAGGGGCTTACGAACTTGCATCTCAAGCAGCACATTGAGGGCCAGGGATCTCAACAACTGAATGTGTTTTCTAAGACTGTAATGTACAGAGGACTGGCTGGAAGATCCCCTTCATTGGTTCTGATTCTGTAGGTCTTTGGTCTGGGGCCGGGGGGCCTTGAGGGTCTGCGTTTCTAGCTAGCTCTCAGGTGATTCTCTTTTGGGTAGCTCAAGTTAAAAAGTAGCTGTTACTCTTGCTGGGTGGTTCTTTGCTTTTGTGCAGCTGTAATGTGTTCTACGTTGAAATGCATGTGCCTGCTCTAAGCAGATGAATGCGGTATACCCTGCCATCTGCAGAGAAAGGGGATCCTGGTTATTCTGGGAAACAAAATCAGAACCCAGAAGGCTCCAAGTTAGACCCCGGATGTAAATGGTTCAGACTGGTAACCATAACATTTGGAGTAAATTAAAATTCTCTAGTCTGATCATATAAATGTAATGTTTCCAGCGTCTATACAGAGTCCTGGATTTAGACAGGCTATATCCTTATAGTGATTCCAAATTCATTCTTTGAAATTAATTACTCCCCACCCCCTATTATGAAAAGTAATTTAGGCTTTTAAGGGACCTTGGTAGCACCGTGGGTTAGGCAGCGGACTGTTGACTCCATATCCACCAGTTGTTCCTTGGGAGAAAGAGGAGTAAAGATTTCTCATCTTGGAAACCCTGCCTGGGGGGTGACTCCGTGCGGGGGCGGGGGCAGGGTGTGGCATTGGGGGGGGTTGCATCCATTGTAGAGATGTGTTCTGATCTTTGCTGCCTATTCCCTCGAAGGATGATTGTTTTATGAAACCAAAATAAACATGATAAAAAGCTAATCCCCCCCTTTTTTTTGGCAGGTCTCTTACAACCTTGGGGTTGGTGATCTCATCACTGGCCGACCAAGCAGCTGGCAAGGGTAAAAACAAATTTGTGCCTTACCGGGATTCAGTGCTCACGTGGCTTCTCAAGGTACTCCATTGTTCTCATGTGCCTGTCCAACCACAGCTGGGTGCCTTGGGAAGGGACAGCCGATGTGTAAGGGAACTCTAGTGGCAACACTCCTAGCCCAACGGCTCGGGGTGTGGAACGCAGACTCTGTTCTGGTGCTTTTTTTCCCACCCAACCCCGGTCCGGGGGAATCACTAGTTATTGTGATTGTGACGAGGCCCCCTCTCCTCCCATCGTAAAATGGTTTGTGAAAGGCAGCCCGGTTCCCTGTGCTGTGTGCGGAAGGGGCCTCCGTCCCTAAGGGAACCCTTGACATTCTTTGCAGGACAACTTGGGAGGCAACAGCCAGACCTCCATGATCGCCACCATCAGCCCCGCAGCAGACAACTATGAAGAGACCCTCTCTACGCTGAGATATGCGGATCGAGCCAAAAGGATTGTGAACCATGCTGTGGTCAACGAGGACCCCAACGCCAGGGTCATCCGGGAGCTGCGGGAAGAAGTGGAGAAGCTGAGAGAGCAGCTCTCCCAAGCTGAGGTAAATGCCGCCTGGCGCGCCCTCACCTGTGGGGTGCACCCTCACCTGTGGGATGCCATCAGTGAGGGCGTGCCCGCTTCTGGGTCATTTCAGAGTTTATTGGCATCTGCCGTGGGCTAGGCCTGGTGGAGACCAACAGGACTAATTCCGGACTTTGTCCCGGGAGTTTCCAGGTGAGGAAGCAAATAAGGGTGCGTTCTTGCCTAATCGTTTACTTCCAAATCAGTGAGCCTTCGAACTCACCTTTCTTCTGATGTGAAATTCTTTTAAAAAACCAAGCACAAGGCAAGCCTGTTGTCTTCCTAGTATATTCACATCACGGATCATGTTTGCACTGTGCCTTGTAGTTCTCAGAGATGCTCGTTGTATGTCCTCTACTCGGTACATCATAGAGGCTGTGTGGTGGTTGATAATTCGATACTAGGAACCATCCGGAAACTGCCAAGTGTTTTTCATTTTTATCAGCTCCTGGCAGAAGATGAATCATTACTTGGGCGTGGCTACCAGGTTCCCTTGCCTTTGCCTAAACAGTCACAACCATACATGATTCCAATGAGCTGCTGCTTGATGCTGGCTGAGAGAGGCCCTGTCTCTTTAAAATAGGGGAAAAGCCTGAGGCGGAGGCCCTGGGGCTTAGCTTCAGTCAGACCTCTGTGACGTAAGGCTTGGCGTGCACCTCAGACATATGCCTGTTAGTTCCCCCCCGCTTCCTCTTCTTCAGGTGGGAGAGCGTGAAACTGGCTGGGGCTAGTGGAGGGGGAATGGCAAAAGTTATTGAGCACTTATATGCCAGGCACCGATTAAGTACTTGTTTCAATCCATCAATTAAATCAAAAGTAATCAACATATAAAATCCGTGTGGCTGTCACCAGGTGCCCTCCATTGGTTCCGACTCAGAACGACCCTGTGCCCAATGGCGCCAAACACTTCCCCGTGCAGGACCATCCTCCCACTCATTTCTGTGCTGGAGCCCAGTGCTGTCGCCACGGGGTCAGACCACCTTGTCGAGGGCCTGCCTCGTCTCCCATGCCGCTCGCTTTACCAAGCTTGATGTCCTCTCCGGGGACTGGTGTCCTAAGAGCGTGTGCGAGCCAGCCTTGCCGTGCTTGCCTTGAGGGAGCATCCTGGCCGTGCTTCTCCGACGACCGTGGCTCGTGGGACTATCTGTTTGGACATCCTTCTCTTCTGGACCGTCGGCTCCTGGACTGCAGGAGGCCATGTTTTCTTAGTGTTCCCTTTTTCACCCCTGCAACATTTGGTACTTGACAGCACTTAGCACCGTCCCTTGCAAGTGCCCAGTAACTGTTGCTCATTTTCATTTCATTGTTAAGTCAGCGTTCGGTGCACTGACCGTGGTTTTTTTTTAATGTTGTACCTTTTTTTTAATGATTCTAACAAAGATGGCAAAACAACAGAAACATCAAAGTGTAGATAAACTTTGAAAGAAGGCATGCTACTGGGAGGAAAGGCTATTGATTGGTTCTAGAACTGGGGTATGAGTGGATTATCCAGTTACCTCCACTCATTTCTGACCCTGCCTCTCTGCTGCAACACATGATCTAGACCAGATGGCCAGAGAAATACTGGGAGAAACCACGCAGCAGACTCACTTAGATTTTTCATCTCTATTTCCCTGTACTCAGCACTGAAGGCCACCCTCAGGCTCTGTTAACACCTTGAGACTCAGGACAACTTGGCCAGCCTCTACCCTGATGGTCAGCACTTCAACTTCTTGCCCAAGCTCTGCCATCCTTCAGGTGCCAGCCCTTGGCTCGGCTGAGGCCCATGTTGCTGTAGGCTGTCACAGCATATGGTTGCCAAGTTAAGTCCAGAAACCATTTTTTTTTACGATGCCTATATTTAAATGTTTGCTCTGGGTATTCTCACTGAACAAACTCCAAGGGACGTTATTGCTATTGTAACCAAATGTTCTGCTTCCAAGCAAAGCATATGCCATATGTATTCCCATCAGTAAAGAAAAGTAGCTATAAAAGGCTATTCCGTCTTTCAAATCAGTAAGAAACAGCTTCACTTAGTCTGTTCATTTAACTGTATTTACTGGTGAAGCGCATTTACTGGTGAAAGGCATTTACTGGTGAAGTGCATCAACCTAGTGGTGGTTACATGTTGGCCTGCTAACTTCAAGGTCAGTAGTTCAAAACCATCAGCTACCAGCCCTTCCATGGGAGAAAAGTGAAGCCTTGGAAACTCACAGGGGCAGGTCTACACTGTCCTAGTCCGCGATGAGCACGCATTGGCTCGACCGCATCGGTTTGTATTGGTAGGAGCCTTGGGTTTTCTGTGTGTGTTTTCCCTACTTTTTTATTTGGAAGATGAACATGAGCCTCTTCTAGTTCTTGGACTGTGAAAGGTCAGTATGGTGGATAAAATTGCTCTCGGTGAGTTTTCAGTGCATGGCATTCCTTTTCTTTAAACAGCTGCAGCACGTTCTCATGCGCTTAACTTGACTTAATAAAGGTCGACCATCCACCCATGACTTAGTGACTTGCTCTGACACACTACAGATGCTGGGTAAGGAAGGACAGTAAATGACTGTCTTTGGCTTCGCTTTAAAGGCTATGAAGGCCCCAGAACTGAAGGAAAAGCTTGAGGAGTCGGAGAAGCTGATCAGAGAGCTAACAGTCACTTGGGAAGAGAAGCTGAGGAAAACGGAAGAGATCGCACAGGTAGTTCGATGGCGGAGGCCTGGCGTGTTGTCCTTCGGTTGCATGTGCTCCCCCCTTTTTGCATAGCTTCCTGTCATCTCAAGACATACATAAAGCACCTCCTGGTGCTGAACCAGAGCCCGCAAAGATCACTGATTTCCCAACAAACCCACCTTCCACCTTCTTTCAGTTCTTTTATTTTCCACGTGGTTTCTGTATTCGCTAGACGCTCTGGAGAAGATGGGATTTGAAGGAGCATGAATTCAGGAAATACATTTTAAAACCTCTGCTTGTTACATTTAACTAAAAATCTGTTCTCCGATAAGACAACAAGGTTACCTGACTGGGAGAGAATTTATAACTTGCAGCTCCACCACCGTTATTTCTCTCACTGTAATTCATTCTCTTGGACGTGTCAGGAAGTGCCGTATGAGCTTTCCTTGAGAGGAAACAGAAAGCAAGAATAATTGTGTGTGTGGGTGTGTGTGTGTAGTGCTATGCATCCTATGAACATTTTAACCTGGTTCCTATTTGCCAGGTGCCCTCGAGTCTGTTCCAACCCTGAGTGACCCTGTGTGCAACAGAACCAAACATTGCCCTGTCCCGCATCATCCGTAGCATTGCTGTTGTGTCTGACAGCATGGTTGCAGCCACTGTGTCCATCCATCTTGTCCAGGGTCTTCCTCTTTCTTTGCTATGCATCCACTTTACCAAGCGCGAGGTCCTTTTCCAGGGGCTGGTCATTGCCTACTTGGGAGGATTTAACAATCCCAAGCAAGCAGCCAAAAGCAGTAGATGGGTCCTCCCGCACACTTCTGCTTATCTCTTTCTTGTAGATAATCCTACGCTCATGCACACTAACTTCCTGTCCTGTTACCTTGCTTTACATTTTCCATACTCTTGTGCATATTATCATTGAAAGCACCGTGTCTTTTCTTCTGCCATTCTTCATGATGTGTCACCTCCCACTAGAGTGCTAATTTCTATACAAGGAAGGGGCATTGCTTTTGTTCACTGATGTGTTCCCAGTCGTAATTCGCTGTGGACTCACCCTGCTTTTCCAGCACCTCCTCCCCTTCCTTTCCCATGTGGATGACGGTTCCTGATACCTGAAGTTGTCCGGTATGCCCAGTCTTCGGTGTGCTTTTCTAGGGTCTACCCCCTGAAGGGCTCGCCCTGATCTTATGACTTTCCCATTTCTCTGTGCTGAAATATTTATGATTTATAAACCCCCTCAAATATATCTGGAAGCCTCTCCTGGTACCTCCTTTAAAAATAAAAGTCTGAATTTTATAGGACAAGAAATGAACTATGTTTACATGAATGATATGGTAATGTTTAATATATTTAAAATGTTGCACAACTTGCCCCCTCTATTTTGCTCTAAAGCATTTTCATCACACACCCAATCAACCAGCCACTCCTCATTCTCCCATCCTCTGGGACTACCAATCCGTTTTGTGTCTCTGGATTTACATATTCTGACATTTCATGTAAATGGAATCATATAAGATTTGACGTTTGTGTCTGGCTTCTTTCACTTAGTATGATATTCGTCCAAGCAATAGCATGTATCAGCATTTGATTTGTTTTGCGGCTGAACGGTATTCATTAGTAATGTGTACCACGGTTTGATGAGTTTATGGTTGTTTCCATCTTTTTGCCTGTTCCTGTCACCTTTGCCGTTCATCCTCTGGCTTCCCTAGAAGCTCTATAGAAATTTGAATCTCTCCGGGGACTCGTGCACTGCTAGTTATGGGGGCTGTGTCCCCCCAATTCGACTGTGGACCATCTAGGGATCAAGATTGTCTGCTTCACCCTTGGAGTCCCTATGATTGGGGACCCAAGTCCGCTCGTTGTCGCTTGTCAGTTCCCTTGGTTGAGTTGTAGAGCATGTCATCTTATTAGCGTTGTCCCCAGGAGCCATGAATTCTCGCTTATCCTGGGAGCATCCTGTGAGCAGAGTAACAAATGGAGTTCCCTGTGCTTGCTTGCATGTATCTACAGGAGCGGCAACGGCAACTGGAAAGCATGGGGATCTCCCTGGAGACGTCCGGCATCAAGGTGGGAGATGACAAATGTTACTTAGTCAACCTCAATGCAGACCCCGCCCTCAATGAACTCCTGGTTTATTATTTGAAGGTAAGGGGGGCACGTGAGCCAGCCTTGGAAACCCCAATGCCATCGTGTGCGATTTTCCATTAGGTCTCGGGGGCCGATCATTTTAGGGTTTTGCGTTTTGTACCTGGCTTAGTACTTACTGGAAGTAAAAGGATCGAGAGTGCTGTCAGATCCCCACTGGCATGGACAGACAGTTAGTTACCCTGTAGTGTCCTGTGGCTGTGTGCTTCAGGCTGATTTCCTGTGGGCGCAGGAGTGTAAGAGGATAGAAGAAGTTTTCATTTCTGTGAAAAGGCTGTGAGAGGATCTGGCTGCTTTTCAGTGAACGCTCTGAGTAATTCCAAGAAGGGCGTGAGTGCAGCATAAAACTCAAAAGCCAAACTCCCTGCCGTCGAGTCAGCCCTGAGTCATAGTGACCCTGGGGGACAGGGTGGAACTGCCCCTGTGGAGTAGAAAGTGGCGGGTGGTGTCACACTACTGACCGTGCAATTAGCAGCCAAGTTCAACCCTCTGCGCCACCAGGCTCCTCTCTAGAGTCCAGTTGAGTAATTAGCATTTCCTGCAAAATTTACTAATTGAATGTTGGACCGTTTTCTGTGCGTGCCCCCGCCCCCACCTCCCTTTGCCTGCTCTGGGAGGCAGAAAACAGCATATAAACCAGTCAGGATTCAGCCCAAAGGATGAGCCCAAATCAAGTTCATGTGGATTAAACAGAGTGGGTTTTTCTAGGTCTACCCTTCTAGACCTGCATCCTCAGGAATGATCCATGGGTCTTTCAAGTGTGGCCGTGGCATGTGGCCCGGTGGGGTGGGCCCTTCAGTGTGCCCGGAGGGATGCCACTAACCCACCTCACAGTCAACAGTTTACTGCAGCACTGCTCAGATTTTCTCTCGAAAAGCCAGACTTTTGTGGACGATATCTGTCTAATTCCCTGTACTAGACACCGAAACTGAAGAAAATTTAAACTCTTAAAAAGAAACACAAGTGTACAATCTGCTAGTCTTCAGGACCATGCATCAGCATCTGTTATTTATTCTCTTTCTCCTCTTGAACACTCTGGTGTTTTCTGTGAAATGAGTTAGCTGCTGTTGCCAAGGCCCGTATGGCATTGCAGGTAGGTGGGTAGGTCAGTAGTTCAAACCTCCAGCCGTCCTGTGGGAGAGAAGCGAGGGTTTCCGCTCTGCACAGATTTCGTCTCAGAAACCTCAAGGAAAGGTCCGACTCTGCCCTATCAGAATCACCTCACAGGTCATGGGTCTGGTTTTGTTCTGGTTCATTGTGGTGATTCTTAGTTGCCCTGGAGTGGGTTCCAACTCCCAGCGGCCCATGTACAACAGATTAGAAACTGCCTGGCCCTGCACCATCCCTCATGGTCTTTGCCCCGTTTGAGGCCATTTGCAGCCACGGTGTCCACCCATCTCCCTGCGGTGCATCTACCATGCATTTGCCAAGCACGATGTTCTCTTCCAGAGACTGGTCCCTAAGCAAATACAATCTTAGTATTTGCCTTAAAGTACTTTGGACTTCTTAGACCCACTGAAGGTTTCTCAGAGATCTTAAGGGTCCTCAGACCACATTTTCAGAATTGCAGGTTTATTTTGACCCACGAGAAATGAGACGTGTTTTGTACAAGCTCCAAAAACCCACTGCCATCCAGTCGATTCCGATTCAATAGCAACCTTATAGGACAGGGTTGGCCTGCCCTTGTGAGTTTCTGAGACTAACTGTTCAGGGGAATAGGAAGCCCCTCTTTCTCCCAAACAGCCTTTGGTGTTTTCAGACTGCTGACCTTAGAGTTAGCAGCCCGATGCGTAACTACTACACCACCAGGACTCCTGTCTATTTGAGACAGGGCACCACGAATGGTACAGGACACTCAAATGACACTGTGTTAGTCTGGGCTAACGAGAGAAACACATCCAGAGACACTCACATGTAATATAAAGAGAGAGCTTTATATCAAAGAGTAATTGTATATTAATAAAACATCCCAGATCACGCCTATAAGTTCGATATTAGCCTTTTTTGCAGCACATGCAATAGTGCCAAATGCAGGAAGATCACAGGCCAAAGTCTTATGGATCCTGTGGCGGTGGAAGCATCTCAGCACTGGTGTGGGTCTCCAGGTGGCATCTCTAGTTCCCGGGCCCTGGGCACCATCAGCATGGCTTCATGTGGCTTGTCAACAGAATGTGTAGCAGAGAGAGTGTGTGTCCAGCCTCCAGGGAGGAAGACAGAATTTCCCAGAATCCTCAGGAGAAGGCCATGCCCACACAGAGGCCTCATTGGCTATATCCTGATTGGCAGGCTAGACTTCACCCCTTCATTCAAGTTGACGGGAGATTATGTAACTGCCACAAATACTAAGCATTTTTAATCAAATGCAAATACAGGCGCCTACAATTTCTCCGTTATGATAGGATATTAATATGGGTTGTAATCACTAAGTGACTATCATGGATGGGGGAACCCAAGGACTTGGAGGGTAGGGTACATCACAGTACTCCACACCCTGCATCTCTACGCGGCTCGATCCTTTAGTCTCTACAAGTTCCCTGCTTGTGAATCAGTCGACCTGCCCATGAGCACACAGAATGCAGCAGAGAATAGGGCGGGGAGGCCAGGCCTTACACTCTCTGTCGGATGGGGATTAAATAATTTGCGGGCGTATTAGAAAAAATATCGGGATGAGAAATGGATTGATCCGCATAGATAACTTGGGGAAATATTAGAAAAAAATACGGGGATGGGCAATGGATGGATCCGTCACAATCTTCATCTGCCTGAGCTTTAAGGTACTTCACATCCTGCTGATTCGCATATTGTATAACTGACGAGCTTTATTACCGCATGTCATATTGGCATGAGAAACGCAGATGACGTTAGCATATTTAAAAGTTCAAGTATTTCGAAGCATGACTTTCCATAAAGCTGCTTTTAGTGGTTCTTGAATGTATAGAGTACATTTTTGTTTTCACAGCCCCTTTCCTTGTATTCCAGGCTGTCCCTGGACTAGTCCTGCATTGCCTTCATTTTACTGTCAGGGAAACTGAGGTTCAGAGCATGAAGTAGTCCGCCCACAGTCACATAGGTAGTACTGGGCTGCGTGAAAATTTGAGTGAAACATCCTCTTTAGAATTTGGACATTCTGTAACCACAGTTAGATTCGAGTCGACGGCTGGTGGTGCTAAGACAGGGTGGACTGCCCCGGTTGGTGTCCAAGACTGTCATTCTTTTTTTTTTTTTT